GAGAGAGAGAGAGAGAGCAGAGGTGAAGCCATAGACGAACGCCGAGACGGAGTGCCTCTGGGATGTGGTTGGGACGTGAGAGAGAGAGAGAGAGAGAGAGAGAGAGAGAGAGAGAGAGAGAGAGAGGGAGAGCCCGGAGGTGAACCCAGACATGAACGCAGAGGCGGATGTGGACCAGTTGCAACGACGACGACGACACGTCAATTGCGTCATCAGTTAAAAGGAAAAGGAAAGGAAAAAAAGGTGGGCTGTCAATTTTCCATGGATCATTTGTATTCACAGAAGAGCGCATGACCTAGAAATAAGAATAAATCCTGGTCCTTTTTTCCATTCCCCTCTCCCCCCCACCCTCCCTAAACCCTAAACCCTGAACCGGGGCTACGATAATAGATCCCGTTCAAGTCCTGTTGTAACTAGTTGTTATTGTTGAGAACAGGAAAATAAAAGGGGGGGGGGAGAGAGGGGGGGGGAGAGAGGAGGGAAGAGAAAACGGGCGCAGGGAAGCATCGATTGCTTTTTTCTTATTACATTATTTCTTACCTTCTCTTTCCAGTTTTTATTAAGTCAATTATATTTTTGCCACTTCACCAACGCCCAAGGACTGCACCAACGGCTCTAAATAATTTGAAAATTATCCCAACTGCAACATCTGCCGCCTTCTTCATTTTGTTTTGGTCTAGAGTTTCTCCTTTCAGTTCCTCCTCTTCCCTCTCTTCCGTTTTCCCTCTTCCCTCTCTTCCATCTTCCCTCTCTTCCCTCTTCCCTCTTCCCTCTCTTCCCTCTTCCCTCTTCCGTCTTTTCCCTCTCTTCCCTCTTCCCTCTTCCGTCTTTTCCCTCTCTTCCCTCTTCCCTCTCTTCCCTCTTCCCTCTCTTCTTCCCTCTCTGCCCTCTATTCCGCCACCCTTCTCTTTCTCCCACTTCTCCCTTCTCCTCCTCCTCATCGTCGTCAGGAATAACTGAATATTAGGCGGAGTGACGAGAAAGGACACAAAAGCAAAAAAAAAAAAAAAAGAAAGAAAGAACAACAAATGCTGTTGTCACTCTGGTCTTTGGTTGAGCAATTTTTTTTTGTCCTTGTAAGGATGCCGTACCTGTCCTTGTACGGATGCCGTAACTGGTTTCCTCCCCACTACCCACTCGCTCCCTCCCTCCCTCTCTCCTTCCCTCCTCCTCCGTCCCTCCCTCCCTCTCCCCCTCCTACCACCTCTCTCCCTCCCCCCCCTTCTCACCTCTCTCCCTCGCCCCTCCCTCCCTCCCTCCCTCCCTCCTACCTCCTCCCAACTCCGCCCTACTCCCTACTCCCTCCTCCCTCCTTCCTCCCTTCCTTCCTCCGTCTTTGGAGTCCAAAAAGAGAACAGGAAGGAGGGGAAAACCGGATTAACACCAAGCAAAGAGGATTGGATTAAGCGCCTGAATCTGGATGTGTTTCATGCAGAGATGCAGAAAAGCCGATCAATCCCAAATTTCTGCACCTCTCCACAAGCACGTCCAGATTCAGGCGTTCAATCCAATCCTCCGTGCTGGTGGGACTCCCCCAGAGAGAGAACCGCAAGGCTGACTGCATTGACTACACTCCTGAGAAAACGGTTGAAATTTTACCCCCTTAAACAACATTATGATTTATGGGAAAAAAAAAAAAAAAAAAAAAAACATTATGATTTATGAAATCATCCCCTCCGTCGAGAGTC